CCTCATGCGCGCCATACCTGGGAACAGAATTGTAGCTACAAGACCTTCATTTTCAAGGTGGCCTGAACAGAGTGTTTTAGGGCAGCAAACCGTGGTCTCAGGCCACCTTGAATTTAGCTTGAAAACCACAGCTACATAGCTACCCTGGGTGTCTATACCTGGCAAGGTGCCAACTACACCTTTATTTTCAAGGTGGCCTGAACAGAGTGTTTTAGGGCAGCAAACCCTGGTCTCAGGCCACCTTGACTTTAGCTTGAAAACCACAGCTTTGAAGCCTCATGCGCGCCATACCAGAACTGTAGCTACTTGTAGCTACCCTGGGTCCGTATAAATAGGGTACAATTCTGTTCCCAGGTATGGCGCGCATGAGGCTTCAAAGCTGTGGTTTTGAAGCTAAATTCAAGGTGGCCTGAGACCAGGGTTTGCTGCCCTAAAACACTCTGTGCAGGCCACCTTGAAAATAAAGGTGTAGTTGGCCTTGCCAGGTATAGAGACCCAGGGTAGCTATGTAGCTGTGGTTTTCAAGCTAAATTCAAGGTGGCCTGAGACCACGGTTTACTGCCCTGAAACACTCTGTTCAGGCCACCTTGAAAAGAAAGGTGTAGTTGGCACCTTGCTTGCAGCTACCAGGTATAGTACTTCAAGTTCCCTTTCCGTCAACCACTCGATAGCCTCTACACACGCACAGCAATCCACAGCTTTGAAGTCTCATTCGTGCTTTGAACTTGTGTAGGTGTGTAAGAGGTCTCACGGCCGCCTCCACCTGGCAAATGCCAAGCGGAGCTGCCGTAGAGAAATGAAAGAAAATGGAGTGGGATGGTGGATCCAGGGTGCAGACCTACCTTTCTATCCTATGCTTCGACGCGCAGTTCTCGAGAAAGGGAAGCGCTGGCTTTCGTTTTGCAGCTTCTCAGGTGCTTGTTTGATAAGATCTCAATTGTATTCCTTGAGCCTCAACCCACTCGGATCATCCTGTGTTGCATGGTGTCCTCGCGTTTGCTTACTCATCCCATCCGTCCTTACTACACTGTTGCTACACTTATCAACCACCTATCTTCGTACATGGTCCCAAAGTAGGAGGTTTAGCCTTTTTTTGCAAGCTCGACTGACTTGCAGGCATAGGAAATGCAAAGCAACCGCGTTGAAAGATGTTGGAAGGACCTGATCTTACTTCTGCTCAGACTGACCACCTCACCTTGTTTTAGCTTGAGCCTAAAGCCGCTTGTTCGGCCTCTCATGTCAGTGGTAGGACTTCGAGAATCCATATAAATGATCTAAATAATCACATGTGCAATATGTATGATTGTGTATGTATATTCTATATATATAGACAGGTATGTCGACCTGTAAGTCCTGAGATTCTGACCATCCTGTCGTAAATCTTTGCTGCAGCTCTTGTGACTCTTGTCCCTGACAGACCATGGCAAGCAGCTTAACTTGCAACCAGTACTCAGTAGTCCTAAATCGTCCAGATGATGGGCGCAATCCATGGGACAAGCTTGCATTGTTGTTGCTAGGTTGCTGTTGATCAAGTCCAAGGATAATTAAAGATGTCTGGATGTGTAAGGTGATTTCCTTCGAGCAGTCCTGGATTGTTTTTCCTTTTTCTTTCGGGGAGCAATGCATTTGTAGCTGTCACGAGAAATGAAGTTGTGTGTTTGTTTTTGAGATGCTTTGACCTGATGTAGCACAAAGGTAGAGATTACGACGATGATGACGATGACGAGGATGATTATGACGAGGCTTTGGCAAGTTAGACTGAGCACGCAAGGGCCCTTTACCTCTTTTCTTTTGGCCAGGTTGCTGGTACTGCTAGGATATGGCGAGATGTTTCGATGCTCGTTTCAACTGCACCAACAGTGCTGCGAACTGCTTAGTTGGTTGTGAAGAAACTCCAACTCCACCGAGCGAACTTCACCATGTCCTACACATTCAACATCATTCAACAGTCCTAAACCTCTTTGAAGCGACATGGCTGCATTTTCTTCCTCCGTTCACCAAAATGACGTTCTAAATGACGTTCTAAAAAAGTACGTGTTCTTCAAGCAGTTCACCACAGGAAACTGCTTTTTCAGAGGGAATTCCTTCATGTTTGTCTGCAACGCCTTGTCGTCCGCTCCGCGCCACGCCTTGTCCCGTCCGGTCTGACGGGACGAGTCCGGGACTCGTGACTCGTCTCGGTCCGCCAGATGCGCCGCGACGAGCCGGTGGACTCCGGGAGCGTAGCGACCATCGTTAGCTTTGCCCTGCTGGCGGTTGGGCACCTTGCCGAAGATCGAAAACGAAAAAAATAACAAAGGTTTAAAGGTCTAAAGAACAAATACAGACAAACAAAGAACATGTTAGTTTTCATTCATACCTCTGACTCAGTATGAAGAATTGGAGGAACAGATATGAATGGATAGGATAATTGATTAACACAAGGCTCTTGTTGCACCGAAGCAGCCATACCTCTCAGGGTCATCGCTTTCCTCATCTTCCAGGCGACAGTTCATTGACATCTGCCAAGCTAGAACTCAAACTTGCCTCCCCTTCTTATGATTTGTTTCCTGCAAAACGTTGTTGCATGCTATGACAATATCAGCTCGGCACTTGACAAACTGGGTTTTGCTGAAAGACAAACGAAGAGAAGAACTGTGAAACGATACGAACCCATGGCCCCTGGCAGGTGGGTCAGCAGCTTGGAAGCACCGATTTCACATGCCGAGACGACACAGCATGCGACGATGCTCGTTCAAACCTCACCGCGCAAAGCAAGACGGTGTGGACCGGTAGAAGTTGGGAATTCGCAGAGGATTTCAGTCTCAAAGTGTCAACCAGCAGGTTGACTGCTGCAGCAGAAATAGCGGTATACTGTTTACTGACCCAAAGGGGCTTCATCGCTACTAGTAGCAAAAGGCATTGCTACTAGTAACATGAAGCTATTAGTAACAAGTGCATCGCTACTAGTAGCTTCTTGTTACAAGTAGTAATTCAGTTGCTACTACTTGTAGTAGCGATGCAAGGGTTAATGACCTTTGACCCAAAGGGGCTTCACCAATCCCTTGTGGTCTTGATGAGTTTGTTGAGTTCTTGGCTGGAAGTTCCAGCAACCTTTGTCCAGTCCTCAGTCCTGACTCTTTGTGAATCAATGGCTGCTAGCCGCTGTGTACGCCATGAGCTCACCAGGCTTTTTCAGTTGAAGAGCTCTTGCTTTGCATGAGGCAAAATGCAGCATTCTCTGGCAGCAATGACGCGCCCCAGATCAAGAAGGTTCAGGTGTGCCGGGCCGCTGTGGATTCGCGCGACATTGGTGTCCCCGCCGTCAGATTCCAATAGCCATGCAACATTTGGCTGAGTAGTCTTTAATGCTTCCCTTGCTGCACATGTCATGAAATTGGATGTTTTGACATGTTTTGAATGTATGTCTCCGAAAAGGCCGGAATGCCAAACAAGGTAGGCATAATCAAGATCATCATAATCTACCCATTTACCCCCTAGAAAGGCATCCCTGGTCACGCCAGCCTTATTCAAAATTACCAAACAAATAGTCCTCATCCAAAGCCTTACCTATACTGTAATTGCTGTCGCGGCGACAAGAGGAGTCGCTTCTCCCCAATGCAGACCGAAGGCTCTGTCTATATATATATATATTATATGTAGCTGGGGCAGTCCAGAAAGACATGTTTTAGCCATAGTCAGCTTCCTTCTTTATGCAGACTGTTGAATAATCTCAAAGGGAGGAAGCAATAGTTGATGACTCTGCTGCTGTTTATCTGGTTTTGCACAGATTGCATGAAAACTCAGAGCTTTCCTTAGTGACTCTTCTGCTTGGCAGCGATTCTCTATAAGTCCCCCCGAATTATCAGGAACGCAGAAGGACGCCAGCGTACCCCTCGTGGTTTCGAACATTTTGGTGGGCCATTGAGAACAATTAAAAATGGAAAGAGATGAGTTCTAGGCCCATTTAGGCCTTAGGCTTTTAAGCCTGCACCCGAATGTCAAGCGCTTTCCGCAGTTTTGTCTGTTTGACAGAAGGGATGTCATCCTTGAAGAAATCGGCAAGAATGTGCATGCTTGATTCATCCATTGTACAGACACGTAAATACACACAGTCGGTAATCCAAGATCAGCTTCAACGCGAACGGACGGAGAGTGTCCATCATTGCTGTAACTGGTCATCGCTTCAGGCGGTCTTTGACACATATTATGCCGAGGGTGAGACTGTGAAGTAGCGTGATGTTAGACGAGGTGTACAAACACTTGCGTGCATCTCGCGGGAAAGTTCCGCGGGCGCACCGGTGATCCGCAAAGACATGAGCCATGTGATCGACCATGTGCAGGAATATAGATGAACCCTGGAAAACGTTCAGGAATATAGGGTGACTTGATTTATATATAGTTTGGCTGCTTTTCTCATCAATTAAACATCATGACATCGGTTATGCTCGGCCTGAAAGTGGCCTCAAGCTCGGTGGATGTGAGATGACCAACCGCATCTTTTAAAGCGGACGGTTGACAGTCCTTCAGTTGACAAATATCTTTTTTTGTAGCCGCCCAGCACCTCCAGCTGAAAACTGTCAAAACACAGTATCGTCACAGTCACGCGACGCTGAGCTTAGCTCGGGATTCTTTTGATGTTCCATGTTTTACCATCCTCAATGTAATTTAGACTGTTGATTAAACCTATGAAGAGGTTCTTCAATGAAAATGGGGAAGTGTTATTGATCAAAAACAGGACCTAAGCATATCCACTTCCAGCATGTGTTGGTGCTAATGTGACTCAGGTAGCCTTTCATTCCTGAGGGCATGTTGTTCATTTCGCGGGGCACCCTCTTTGCTCGACCACTTTGTCAGCAATCTCAAGAACAGCAAGCGCAAGTTTTCAAGTTTTAGTCAGGAACAATGCAAATCAAATGTGAAGATCCATCAAATTGATATGTTTCCTTTCAGATTCTTAACTTGGAGGCTCCTTCAGTGTTTCAATGGGCTTCTGTAGTCTTCTACCACCTCACCTCGTTTGTCCCTGGTGTCCCCCATCACCGACTGTCCCAAGCTGCACCGATTTTTGGTGCAGGAGCCTTCCAGTCCCAAGTGATTTGCCTGCGCGTTTCCTCTGTGCCTGACACTGTGGACTTGAAAGAAAGGCAAACGCATGCCACCTGTTCACTGAGACAAGATTGTCATGGTTTCTGAAAGTTTCTGAATGCAATGTGCAAAACTGCGAAGCTCAACCAGATTCGCTTCACATTGCTGGCTTTTGGGAGACTACCCGTAATCAGATATCAACATCTTAAGTGTCCTTGTGCAAAGCGGAGATAACATGCCAAACCATGCCAGCTTGGTACAATTATTTGCAACATTATTCGCCTGATAGAACACAGTACATCAAGTCTATGGCAAGCGTTTGTGCATAGGACTTGTGAATGGTATCCAAAGCCGACCCTTCAGCAAGTTACACAGAACTCAACTTGGCTCTACTTGTTGCTTGATGTTACTCGTGTTGAAAGTTCTTTCTTGTGTTCAACTCCCACCATTCACAGACGAATTAACAGTGGTTTCAGAACTGAAGGCATCGCCCCAGTGGGCCTGGAGCCTTTCGTTCAATGCTAACGAAACTTGGAGCGACGCGAGCGAGTTCGCGCGGATTCTCCGCGCTCAACTCGGATTCTCGGCGCACGAGGAATCGATTAAGGTCAAAAAGGTCAAAAGAGGGAAGACGATTAGATTGGAGGCCATCGCTCTTAGGTTGGAGGCCATTGCTTCTAATTTGGCTGTAGCTGTAACAGCTCTATGTTGCATGAGCCAGGAAGCGCATGGAAAACAAGACTCTCTTTCTTGTGGTGCTACCATCGTGGCATGGTTCAAATGATGCTTGGCCACAGCGGCCACGGCTTCACCGAAGATTACTCGCGTGCGTAAAGTGTTCTTTGCAGAGCAAAGCCACAGGTGTTCACTGGTCACTGGACTAGTACGGTTCTTGATATTGTATAGTATTCTATATGTCTATAAATTTATTTAAAAAAAAACTGTGTAATTCTTGAATCCAGGAACATAAACTCGAAGAACAAACGCGTCACTTGCGTTGCCATTTTTGCCCTTTCAAGCCGCAGTTCCGCTTGAGGCCAGACCAGACCTAGACCGGTGCAATTTACGTTCAAGCGTATTTTCTAGCAGGGTAAGGGCAAGCATGGGCAAGCCGTGGTTGACAGACATTTTGCGGCATGAACACACTATGGTATAGGCCCAGGCAAAAACATATATATATATATTGTATGTCAAAATGTGTCGGACAAGGTTGGACGCGATTTGTGCGTGTGGGTCGGAACGTCAACATTGCCCAGCATGGGTATTCGACACAGCTTTTAAGTCAAATACTTCGTGCACCAAAACCACGTTCTTAGTTTTGAGATCCACGGCTGGTTGTCTCATCAGCCCAAACTTGTTCAATCGCCTCGCTTTTCCTGGAGCCTCAGTATGACTCTCTATGACTTTCAAACAGAACTTATAGTGTAATTGGAGGGCACAGAGAGAGAGAGAGATAACGAGCAAGGCCCCTGTGCCGAGGAAAATTGTCTTCGGAGTGCAGTTTTTGCTAGTTCATTGTTTTTGCAGGGCCATCAATGCAGCAGCTAACCAGCAGAACCCACCGCAGAAGGTGCAAGCGCAGTTTCTCGTGCAGATGACAAGAATTGCAAGCCAGAGAAGACTGCTGCTTCAAATTTGTGTGTTACTTTGGTTGCCTGTTGGAACACTAGATCCTCCGACCTAGCCAACTCAACGCCGGTTCCTATGCATCTCCATTCTCTGATTTTTGTTCATGTCGCGTGCAACAAAGCTATAGAGGTGTCTCGACAGTTTTTTCCCGGCGTGCTGGTGGCTTAACAGCTAAACTAAGGCGGACTAAGGTGTGCTAAATGCCATTCAGATCCAGTTAATCAGCAGCGCCAGGCCTATTGGTGGCTTTTTATCAGGGATACTCTGACAGGTGGCAGGTCCGACGCCTTTCGTTGACAGTATGCGACATGCTCGCTCGAAGAAAAGAACATGAGCGATGTACTATGATGAACCTCGATGGGTCGCGAGTCGCAAGGGTCCGACATTTTACCACACGATCAAGGCACAAGGGATGCAAACATGATTACACGTGCAGCAGCGAAAGTTGCTAGGTCCATGTTCTTGTTATAAATCTAGTTCTATATGTTTTAGTTGCAGGGGATACTTCGGGCAAGCCCCCCTTCCAATGCCAGGAGCTGGGAGCAGCATTAGCCTCAGAGAAAGATGATGCTGCCCTTTGATCAGTTCTGAGCGCAAACGGTTCGGCCCATCAGACCCCTGGCTGGATTAGCCTTTTAAAACCAGCTCAAGCTCGAGACTTGAACAGGTTCGTTTTCCTGGTTGCCA